GGAAGGCAAGGCAGGAAACTTGTAGACGGTGATTCTTCGGATGGAACTATGTGGTGGTCAGTGATTTTGTGCGATAAATGTACAGCTTGATATCTTTTTCGCGTCTTACCGAGATACAAAGAGGAACGGCTTTGCCAGACCAGATAGCTTCGTACCAAGACCGGCCTTGGAAGCACCACGACGACCAAGATGGAAGATGATGAAGAGGCCCATGAGGGAAGCCAGGGCGACGGCGAAGTAGATCATCGCCTCCTGGTTCAGCTTGGTCCGCTTTGCGAAGAGCAAAGGATAAGCCGAGGGGCCACTAGCTCCTCCGGCCATTTTTGCGCGTAGTCGTGGGGATGAGTGAGCAATGTGAGGCTATTCGCAGTTTGAAGAAGGGATGGAGGATTAGCGCGGTGGGCAAGGTTGTCGTCGTGAGTTGAAGTGAACCGAAAGGATGGATGAAAAGCGGGAATGTGCCAAGTTTATAACAAGAGGTCTTGTTATGATATGTTGACGAGGGTGTGAAAGGACTCTCGTTGATAAGAATGGCGCGGAGGGTCTCAGAGTATTGTGATGAAGAGAGATACTTACTCGGGACGCGGCAGTGGGAGAGGTGTGTGTGAAATAGAAAAACTTGAAAGACCCCGTTTGCGGCAAGCGGGAGCGGGGGAGGGTGAGGGAGAATAAAGTGAAGCGTTGTGTACCGGAGATAATATTGAGGTGAGGTGAATGTGTGAAAAGGAGGGAGGGCCAAGTGGGAGTGGTGGAGGTTGGCCCGGGTGGGTAGTTTGGGTAGGTAGGGAAGGAGGTCAGGTACACAGCCCAGGTCGTGTCTTCCTTAAGAATTTAGATTCATCCCACCCTTGTGACTTAGAATCGATCTTATTGTAAGGTAAGGTGAAAAGAGACAAAAATAAAAACCCAACCCTGAATATTATGAGACTGTACCTAAGGTTTGGCAGAGCGGATCTGTCTAGGAAGGAGTTGCTACTACCTGGTTCCTTCCCTACCACGTACCTTCCTTGCTTTTTCCTATATCTCCCTATTTCTTGCCCTTCCTTCATCTAGTACTATTGAGATGTAGCATCTGATGAAGAGGAAGGGCGTTGAAAAACTCCGAAAAAAAAGGGTGTCGAGTCCTGGCACTCTATGTAACTCGTACGTGAACTTACACAAGTCGTCTGCATGCCCCCACTTACACGCTGTCTTTGGATGAATGCGGTCTACCGACGTAGTTCCCGTGGCTTGACCCGTGTGGCTTTTCCTCCCACTCACCCTTATTTTATTTTTCTGATCCTCCCCTCCTTTCCTGATCGTAGCTGGACTTCAGATAACAGGGCAAAACGTCCAGATAAGAAAGAAGAGGGAGGGTATCACCGTCAGACTCGAGGGTAACCAGCCAAGGTTGCCCGATGAAAATGTTGCAATGATAGCCGCCGGATTGTGTATTCAGTCTAGACCTTCCCTTCGCGGCCGGCCACCCGCTTCACATGGCACCCTCTCTCAATTTGTTGGCCCTCTCATGTTGCTTTGCTTACAACGCACTTACACAACGGCGGTCCCAAAGACCTGTGCATACCAAGGACCGATTGCCCAGCTCCATAAACATCCATGTGAGACAAGCGCCACGTTCCCCAGATAAGTCGATCCGTTGAAGTCCCTGGCTTTGACCATGAAACGAAACAGGGACTTTCCCCTCTCATACGGTAGGGTAGGTACATCTCCCTCGTCCCGCCTCGAGACTCGAGGATGCCAAGCAAAAGAATAATAAGCCTTGGTTCATGTGGAGAGCCTTGAGCCGTTCCTGGATAGCTGCGTCGTACGGCCGCTGAGTAAAAGGCTCCAATACCGTACGTGGACACATATCGTCGCTCCATACCAATGCCCAGTGACAAGATGGCCAACCCCATCTTCGATGAGGGCCCTTTCGATGCCGGTAGCCGGTGTCACTTTCACGCCATTTTGTTCTCCGCAGCTGGAGCAGGCGCAGCAGCAAGGCGGGAGGGGAGCTTGGACAGCGGCAAGCGGGAAGGGAGGCGAGAAGAAAAGACGGGGAAAATTGTTTGCTAGGGAAGGTCTCACGGATCGTGGATCTAGATTAAGATGGATTCCCCTACGAGAATTTGAGAAACAGAGAGGGCCGCAATGTCTAGCTCCATGTAGCCTGGCCTGGCGGTTTTGGTTTGGTCAGCTTGACAAAGCACTCTACATTTCTTTTGCGTTGCGATGGAGAAAGGCCATGGTTCATAGACGAGGTACTTTTGTGTAGAGTACATACTATGGCAAGGAAAGGGCAGGCAAGGAGAGTTCGTTGAGGTTAAAGTAGAGTGGTCCGTCACGCCTATGATGGACAGCCCCTCGACCCCACCGTTGTCTGCAGCATGCCGTGAACCGCCGCCAGGACTCGGACGGGGCCTCGCTACACAGTACACAGCCAAAGACGGAAGCACGGGGGTTCTTGACACAATTTGGGTAAATCGAGCCAAACCACAATAAGAAACGAGACAACGCCAAGGAGAGACAGAGTCCGCCTCACAAGCCAGATACTATCACGGCCGAGGGCTGAGGGCTGAGTGAAGGCCAGGCTTCCGGCTCCAAAATGCATCCAGATAGTAGCATCCAGTGTGGAGCTCTGGTATCAGCGTGCCTATCTGCATCTTGCAGATAGATTGACTTGCCTAGATGGGATAGAAACATTATTGCAAAGACCCTCGTACGGGCCGTGTTTTTCGGGTACAAGTCGAGCCCAAAAATCCCTTGTGAGAGATCCTTGGAATGTCTTGTCAGCAGCAAATCTTGTCAACCTCCTCAAAGTCACCTGCTAAAAGGGTGACCCTGGTCCCCCTTGACCTTGCTGCATTAGGCCCTGATCCGTTAGTCGTGATCTTCGCCATAGTCCACCCGCGTCTAATCCCCGAGAGGGTAAGTCGTCAAGGGCTTGCTTGACAGGCCTCGTGTTCTCGCTTGGAAACGGCACCGTTCCAGTGGGGGTTTCCTCGACTTACACGCCGCCTCCGGGGACGGGACGAACTAGAGGTACCAGGGCCTGACGGGAGAGCGCGGGAGGACGGGACATGAAGTGAGTGGCATGGACCTGGCCTGGCCAGTGCTGGACTACACTCATCGTCGTCCACCTCTATCCGTAGTTTGACAGTCCGTCAGGAACTCTCAGTGTGATGTGACGCGACGCGGCTGGCCAAAGTGTGCTTCCAGCCAGCTTAGACTCGTCACATTGCACCGCTGGCTGGTGCTTGTTGTCGCCATCGCCGGAAGCAGCCGCGCGCGCTGCGTCAGAAGGGGCAAAGACTACCTCCGCACATACAACTGGAAGCGACAGCGTGGATGTACGTCAAGGTCAACCGGCGAGGGTGTCCAATGAGATGGGGCCAGGTCAAGCAATCTAATCAATCTGTTGTAGAAGGCTGCGGCGAATGGCATGAGGTAGGCTTTCGGTCGGTGACACTGCCCAAGCCGTCTAGCTAGAGTGGGCGGGCAAATAGCTGCTCCGAGGCCAGGATGCCGTTGTATCGTGCTCATTTGCGTAGCATCGCGTGTACCAGACTTTTGTCGCGTAACGACTTGCCCGTTTCTCTCGCTGCTGCGTCTGGCTCCGATAGTCTGGTAGCCTTGGTAGAGGTCTGATTCATATTCAAAAGACAAATGTCTTGGTGAAAGCGGCCGCTGTCCTTGGATCCACGCGTACCATACCGGAGGGCAAGCGATACGCCGGATCCGGAATGATGCAATTCCGTCTGGCGGGCTATCAGATTACCGTTGGCTTTGTTGGGTGTCATGGATCTGGTGCTTCCGTTGCTTCTTGCGCTGTCACTTTTGGGGAACAATTCACTCGTTCTCTGGAGTACAGAGTTGCTTATCCACGTGCTCTCAGCCGTGATGTGAGGTGAAAGTGCGGAGACGATGGGAAGCGGCAGGTTCTGAAGCACGCCAAAATGCAGTCGTTTTCGTTGGGTGCCAGAGCCTAGAGGTGCCTCCATCACAACAGATGCAGCTAAGCATGATGTGCCTAGATCGCGCCTGTTTTTGCGTGCCACTCACATCATCTTTGAGTGATGAAAAAGCCACACCCCTTGACCATTCCAGGTCCACGTTTGAGCTGAGACAGTTGACGTGCGCACTGGCGACGCAGGTTGAGGCTCGTGGACATGCCGTTCCCGAGACAAGATCCAGATCTGTCTGGCCTGGTATTGCTGTGGGTGGATCGGATTGAGTTGACCTATGGTTTGAACATACAAGCGGGAGAGGCGTGGAAGGCTGAGTCGGGAGGAAGAGTCATGCTGGACCTACTGGCAGCAGGGCATAGTTGCGTAGGTATCAGTGTCACGAAGAGGTAGCCCAGAGAAAGAGAAGAAGAAGGAGGAGAGGAATGCAATGGTGCGGTGAACAATCCACCCGCGCGGGTAACTACGCTAGCAGCAAATAGCAAGGTACATCCCTTACAGCGATGCCAAGGCTTGGTTGGTAGTATCTCAGTAACTGCTGGTAATCTTATCCCCCCGTTTCCCTCCTCCCGGCCCCACCATCCGCTTTCTCGACATCAATTTGACTTCACTCGCCTGCCCACCACTACCGACGTCAACCTAGACGACACACACTTCCGCATTTGTCATTGGCAGATTCCAACGTTCACTCAAGGCCGCCTTCATCAACATACTTCGCTGCCCTGGTCAACGGGGAAACACATGAATCAGCTGGCCGCGCGGATGCAGAGACAGAGACAGAGACATACGCCACTTCACCTATCGACTCCAACTCCAGAAACAGGATCTCAACATTGGAACAAGGAACTAACACCACGCGGCGATAGCAGCAAAGTCTTTCTAGATTGCAAACCGATGGTCATAAACAAACAAGCACCCGGTATGCACTCTCATTTGCTACTTTCTGGGGCCAAACCGACATCCAAACCGCTTTGCAGATCACCCTCCTCTTGCAGAACTCTCTCTAGTAAAAGCATACGCAATCTCTTTACCGGATGCCTCCGCTGTCGCGCGAACCTACACTGGCGACGATACCTGGAACGTCTCTCCAAATCGCTGAAGCACCTCGGACGCCTCCTGCGTCAACTCTATCTCCGCCGGCCTTGAACCGTCTGACTCCATAAAGTTATGGAACATGAGTCCACCGTCAGTCTGGTGCTTTGGACATAGGCGAGGTTTAAATTTGCAGTCGCAAGCGGGAGCGTCGTCAGCATTCTCATTCAGCTGTACTTCCAGACTGTTCTGCAAGGAAGTCCACGGCTTCTTGATCTCTCCTGCGTCTTCAGAAGCCGCCGCTTGCTCGAACAACTCCCTAGCGACCTTGCGCCTCTCTGAGGCATTAGCATCGAGCCCTTCGATCTTCCCGAGCTCAAGATTGGCGTATGATCTAAGGAGATTGATGGACCGCCAAACCTCTGCTGTTTGGGCTTCTGTCTGCCAAGCACCCAAGTTGCTATTCCACTCGTGGAGCACTTCAAGCAAGTTGAATGCTCTCTGCAAGCTGTGCGGATCCCTCTGTTCGAGTGCTGCTATGATTTCCTTCCTCCTTCTCACGAAATCTGCTAGCCTCCAGAAATTGGGCACATCAGCGTTGATGCCCTCCTTTGCTTTGGTGTCGGGCCATAGGACACTCTGTATGATATCTGGCAGAGTCTTCCTCGTTTGTTGGTCTCCAAATATGCGATATGATTCTGACCGTGCCTTGCCAAGCGCAGACATCAGCTCTGTCCGCAGCTGAGAACCTCTGTCAGTTCGTTGAGCATCAGAGCCGGCGTCATCCATAGCCCTGGGAACAGTCATGTACGACGTCCAATTCAACGCTTCGCTCTTAGCTTGAAGCTTAATCTGAAGCTCTTGGGTTTGTCGTGCAAGTTCTGCTAGCTCGTTTTGGCTCTCTTCCTTGGCCGTCTCCAAAGCCGCGAGCTTATTTGTGGTCTTTTGACGTTGCTCCTCCAGAGCGTTATTCTGGGCTTCGAGATTGCGAAGTTCTGTCTCTTGCGTCTCCCGTTCCTTGTTGAGTTCTCTGAGTCTGTCCGATACGGTCTGTTCCGTATTTGAATCCCGCTCTTGGGCCTCGGCCTGCATATCTTCGAGCTTGCTCTGGAAAGTGCGAACCTGTTCTCTGAGGCGATCGCTCTCCTCGTTCATGCATGACTCTACCCTGCGTGCTAGCTCAAGCTTCTCTGTCGCCTGCTGTTCTAGAGTACGCTTGGTTCGTTCTGACAACTCTTGTACTTGTCTTTGCAGGGACTTGATCAAGCGGGTTTGTTTTTCATTCTCTGGGGCCTCGTTTTCGCTGGAGCTAGATTGACCGCCTGTCTTGGCAAAGGGTTTCTCGAGGTAGAGTGTCATCTGCGATTTGAGCTCGAGGATGGCATCAGCCAGGCGCTTGACAGACCTAATCGTCGTTCTCGTTTCCGCCAGCATCTTTTCCGTCGAATCGCCAGCTTGCCCCAGCTGAAGGGACCTGTTCAACAAGCCGACCTGGTCGGATACTCGCTTGCCATGCATCTCCACCAGGTCCACGATGCACTGCAGAGACTCAGGCACCTCTGGACGATCCAGGAGCTTCTTGTAGTTGTGAATGGCTTCCATCGCTTCTCTGATCTTGCGCTCACTCACGGCTTCTAGCGCACTCTCGAGCTTCAGTTTCTCATCCAATCTGTACTTGAGTATGCGGCAATAGTCCTTGATTTCCGCAAGTCTGGCGCTGATCTCCCGTTCCAGCGTGAGACACCGTAGGCACTCTGGCCTTGCCGCTGCCAAATCAACGTTTTCCCAGGTTTTGGCAAAGGGATCTGTAAAGACGGGGCTTGGCTCAGGAGGCACCGTCGTGTCCATGAACTCTACGACCTGGCTGCCTCTAGGACTCAAGACGAATCTGACACCATCACGGGGAGGCGGGGTTTCTTGCTGTGAGGTGGTTTCGAATGCTGACGCCTCTGATGGGATGCTCGCCACGGGAACGCTGAGTCTCATTTCGTTGGGAGCTGAACGCAGCGGATGATTTTCGAGTCTACCAAGCGGCGGCTGCGGCTGGAAACCTGGCGCGAGCGTAGTAGATTCGCGAGTATGTTGCGTGGTGTAGTCCAGGCTGCTAGCATACCTCTGGCGCACCTCCAACCGCTGCGTCGCGATTTTGGTAAAGGCCATGACGGCAGACCTACGATCGTCATTGTCACGCTTGACCTGATCGTCAAGGATCCTGAGAGAATCGACCAGGTCCTTGTTGTCGATCTGGAACATCCGTTGCACCTGGTCCCCTTGGTGCCTGGCCCCAACATACTCGTTCACTTCCCTGCTGTTCTTCGCCATGTCTCTGAGGACGCCGCTCAGCTGCTCGAGATCTTGTTGTAGGATCTCTTCGCTATCGTTGATCCTGTTCTCCATGGTCTCCTCAGTCATGCGGTGATCGAGGGCGAGCGCGCGCGCCGTCTCGAGGAACGCCTCCCAACGCCTGGCGTCCCTCGAGCACCCACTCATCACCACCACACCCGGGATATGACCCCAGTGATCGCCGTTGCGCGTGAGTGTCTGCCCGATGAACCTGTGCTGCCTCCTCACAGACCCGTCCAGCTGCTCCCAGGCCCTCTGCATTCTCTCCGCCGCGCACTTCACCTCCACCTCGTCGAGCTTCTCCATCACGGCATCCATGTCCTGCCTGTATGTCAGCCGCAGCCGAGCCTCCTCCTGCGCAGATGTGTACATGAGCCGGCAGAGCTGGTGAATGATGCGGTTCACAAACGGGACCTTGACCCACGTCCGCCCTTGCATCCACTCCAGCAGCGCGGAAATCATGCCGTCGTTGGACGTTTCGAGGTCAAAGAGGGCGTAGTAGTCGTCCGAGGACATGCTCTCCCCCGTCGCCTTTTCAAACTCTTCCTTGCGGAGCCGGGCCGCCACGTCGCGGGTGTAGCGCGGGTACCGGAGACGGCTCGAGAGCATCGTCTGGAACTCGGGGGGCATCGTCGCGAAGGTGTCGTTCCAGACTTGGATGATCATTCTGCGCTCCTCCTCGCCACCAGGGAGGGGTTGTGAGCGGATGAAGATGTGTGTGCGATTTGGGGCGCCCGGGGGCGGCACCTTGATGCGGCGGAGGGTGAAGCCCGGACCGGAGCGGTCTTGCTCGTTGTTGTATGCGCCTAGACTGGCGGGGAGCGGACGGCGGCGTTGGGGGTTATGAAGGGGGGGTGGGGGCTGGACTACGGTGTCTGTCGATGAGGACCGGGAGCCATGCTGCCGTTGGCTCTGGATGGGAGTGGAGGGCGAGACCGGCTCGTTGGATCTCATGAAGCCCGGTATGTCACCGGGTCTAGTTGGCGTAGGCGTATGAATGATCGGTGAGATAGGCGACACGTCTCGGTCTCGGACATGGCTCCTCCCAGGAGACGCGACTGGTTGGGAGGATTCTGGCCGACAGCGTCTTGGAGCTGGGAATTCTATGGGATCCTCAGGATACGGCGGTCTTTCGTCCATCACTTTTTGAGTGCCGTTGCGTTCTCTTTCTCTCTTGGCCCTCTCACGCGCTGCCACTTCCCCCCTGGGCGTCAAAGCTCTCGCAGATGCAGGTGAGGTGATTTCTGGGCTGGCCGACCTCGACGCCAAGGACTCCCCTTTCTGCAAGACTGCCGACGGATGGTGGTTATCATCGCCTTCACCATTGTCCTTATCATGACCAGTGGGGTCGTAACTCGAGCCAGGCTCTAGCGGAAGAGAACTTCGAGGAGAGGGTTTGCTTGCTTTTCCGAGTACGGCACTCATCGACTGCGAGTCCAAGGCTTCTTCGATCGATAAAGAGTACAAGGGGCGATTGGAGACTGCTCGGAGTCCGGCTTCAGGACCGAGATCCTGTCGAAGGCGAGCAGGATCAGCAGCGGTAGCGTCTGTTTTCTCGCTAACCTTACGACTCGGACTAGATTCATCGTCTCGAGAGCCCTCATCCACAGATTCCGACTTATTCTTGGGTGGTCGTGAGGCTGTTGGTGTTGGCGTCGACGGCTGGAACTGTGTACGAGAGGCGGACGACGCGAGGTCGAGGGGGCTGACAATATCTGAATCGGGAACGATTGCAGCTAGTGATGTATTGCGTGTCTGAGGGACCCCATCATTTGAGATATCAGGGGGCTTCTGTTGCGCGGGTGATACGATATCGTCGTCGAGTGCGGAGAGCAGGGAACTGAGGGCACTTGAACCAAGTTGAGGTTTGATATCTGCCTCACTAGAAGGCTTCATTCTTCCGGGCCCGGCATTCTGCTCGTCTGATGACTCCCGCCTCTCTTTAGGAGATGGAGTCTGGCTCTGAGCTGGCGATGAGGTCGTCGTGTGCTTTGAATTCGACTCCGGCGAGGCTTCGTCAGGGACTGTAGATGCCTGTGCTGTCACTTGCGAAGTTTTCCCTACAACGTCAGCAGATGTATCTTCAGCCGATGTAGTAAATGTTGAGGAGAGGGATGTTGTTGCATCGTTCTCACTGTTTTCTGCATCCCTGGTCATCGTCGATGTTGGTTTCTCTTTCTCCGACATTATGCTCAGTTGTCCCTCGATGTCGGTCAGAAATAGACAGTTTATCGAAGTCACATTCGAGAACACGAGCAGAACCTAGTTCGAACGGAAGATGAGCATCAGATACTCTCAGCCCATTTAGTTGTAAGGGCTCTCTTAATTTTATCAACCTTCGGCCCCACTCGATAGAGTTGAATATTCCCGCACCTTCTGGTGGCTCCATGGTGGCATCATTTGTATGCTTGATGTAAGATATTACGAGGATGATACAAGGGAGACGCAGTACATAAAGACTTTGGAGTCCATGCTTGCTTTGGAATAGAACATGCCACGACGTTTATAATGCCATCAAAGAACTCGATGCTTCGGTTTCACAGGCAACCAACAAAGGGAAGACTAGGCAAACAACTTATTGTTAGAGCTTTTTGATGGATCACATGAGTACGCTTAGTACCAACATTCTACCATCTTGATTGAGACTCTTGCTATTGTACTCATAAGTACGACCATTACCCGGCCCCTTGCACTCAAAACGTCGGCGATCTGCAGACAGATCTACCACGTACACTCCTCAGGTCAGGCAGACTCTCCCGGCTACCGACAACTTCTCCGCTGCCGTTCAAAATAAGATAGAGCCCACTGTGACTCTCTTCGGATTGCGTCTCATCATCGTCGTCAATGTCGTCATTAGTATCATCGTCATCATCATAATCGTAAAAAGCCTTGAGAACCATGTCCTCGTCCCTAAATCGAACCATCTTTAACCCATCCTTGCCTTTGCCTTCAATCTCCAGAGCGCGCCTCATGTTCTGACGCCTCACATCTTCAAACTCAATCATCGTCAGACAATCCCTCGTCAAACCCCTGATATTCGTTCCCGTGAATCCGACCCCCCTCACGCTAGCAGCCCGGACGTAGGCGGCGTGGGCCTCGCGCCAGCGGCCCCAGGCACTTAGGACATGGCCGCGGTACAAGTACGCGCGGGGCTCCAGATCGAAGCGGTGCAAGTGCGCCGCTATCGCGAGGGCCTGGTCTGCGGCGTTGAGAGCCTGGTGAAGCTTCAGGATGGACAGAGGTGTTTGCAGCAGGGCATAGGTGCGGAGGAGGAGGGAGTTGACGGTTTGAGCGGCGGAGTCGGCGGCAGGGGCGATGCTGTCTGATTGAGACGAAGTACTCATTAGGAAGGAGGCTTTGCTTTCTATTGTTTGGCTTGTACGTAGGCTGATGGGATATTCTTTGCTTGTTGTCCTGACGAAAACGGCGATTTGCTAGTTTGGTGTGCCCCGGGCAGTGCGGGCGGGTGCTCTTCTCCCTTTGCCTGCTCTTCTTTTTGGACTTTACTGTGGTCGGAGCTTATTTTGGAATACCCAAACTCCGAGCTTTGGATTGAAGCATTCGTTTAACTTTGTTCCAAAGAAGGAGGAAGAAGTATTGACGTGCAGTGTTGAGAGCTCCGTAGGCAGAGCTGAGGGTGTTGCAAGGGATGAGATTGACGTAGGGCCTTTGGCTCGGGGTAAGCTGAAAGTGAATAAAGAAAGAATATTCCCCAGTCCTTACCTCCAAAATCCGTGGCAAGTACCCAGATACTCTGAGCGACTCTTCGGGTTTAGGTGATGAAGTAAATCGTTCGATTTGAAATTCTCAAAGTCCCTTGGCCCCCCTCTCTCCGCGAGCCGGCGGAACAAGTGACGCAGGGTATGGAATTGGGCCAAGGCTGCTGCTCGATTTTGTTGGTATGGATCAGCGAATGCCGCGTTCGTCAAAGGCGTCGTATGCCAAGACCAACCGAGAAGAAGATCGAATCTTAAGAACAATGAGGGAAGTATTGAGCAAATTGCCTAGCATCTGAGTGCCGGACTCTTTTGGATCGTAGACAGGCTTCCCTGCTTACTTATGTGCCCCGGGGTTCCATTGAAGAAAGAACTGCTGTTCCTGTCAAGTTTGTTGATGAGAGGGCGGGCTTGTTCGGTGGCATGCTAAATTGAATCAATCGTAAATGTCTTTGAAGGGAGGGCCTGGACGCGGCGATGGCGAGGAATGCATGTGTCGTTTTGGGCATGAGTAAGCACAGCCCGATCGATATGTGGGCAGTGAACGTTCAACGCGCTGCAAAGCTGAAGACTATTTCCTTGATGGGAATTGCTCGGTTGTAGCCGAGGGGAAATGCTTGACTTCTTTGAGGCTACTAATAAGGTTTGGATCTGGACGCTTTCGTCACGTCAAGTCAAGCTCGGGGTCCAGGCCAAGCTTTCGAGAAGCATCATCCATAGTCATCGCTGAAGAAACACAACCGTTACACAGGTGTTCTGGAACTCGTCTTCTTGATGAGAAAGGAAATCGAAGGAAAGCAGAAAGAAAGAAAGTATCCGGGAACGGAATGCGAACATAGCTGGCACGTCTCATTCTTGTGCGATGGGATCTGCGTGATGACAACGACGGAGCTGGAAGCTCCTCTGATGGTAGAATGGTAGGATGTCAGTTCTTGCTCATAATACCATCATCGAAGAGAAGGGACCGATCAGGGATTGGGCATCTATGACTGCCGTAACTACGAGCTGCCAGCTTCAGCTCAAGCCACTGTTCATAGATCGTTCAGCACGTCTTGAGCCATCCATCAAGGCCACCCCGGGCCCTTCCGGCCGAAGAAGTAGTTTCTGAGACCGGTATTTGAGGCTTAAACTCTAGATATAGCGGCAATGAGCGATTCCGGCGACTGTTCTGGCTCACTAACGCATCTACCTCAGCCTGATATTCGCCTCCAGAGGCTTCTCATTCTCGGTAGACTCCAGTGCCTGACTACATAGGAACTCAAGGCGTCGGAAAATGCAGAAATTGTTCGCGACGGGGCTTGGCACGTGTCTTGGGCGTCAAGTGCCTTCTCGTACGTAGATGTTTCCGTAGCCCACGTGTCTGGCATAGGCTCAACGCTGGCGAATGTGGTCCATGACTCCATTATAACCATCGGCCGCCTCGGATAATCGGCACATGATCTTGGTCTCTTCCATGAATGGCAAGAATCTCGAAGCTTTCGAAGCACTCAAATCCAACGACATTGTTTTTGAAATGGTCGAAGTCGGACAATCCTTGCGGTACCACCCCAACTCGGGTGGACACCATGTTTTCGATCTGAACCTAGCTCTGATTATTGTTTCGACATTGTTGGTCTCTCTCCGTCTGCTCACACGGAAGATTATAGTAAAAGCTCTAGGCTGGGATGATTTTCTTGCAATAGTAGCTTGGGTAGGTCAAGCCGCTTTCCCGTGTAAGTTGCGTGGACTAACACGGGAACCAGGCCTTGTGTGTCACGCTCTCGGCCCTTGAGATGGACACGACCAACTATGGCACCGGAGCTCAGATCGAAGATGTTCCCCGACCGACGCTGCTTCAGTTCTTCAAGGTCAGCTGACTCGCATCCTGAAAGTCGTTCACAGAGCTGACGTACTGCGAGTAGAGGCTTTCCATCATGGAGTTGGTCTACTTCCTCGCTTCTGGCGCAGTACGCTTGTCCATATTGGCGTTTCTTCCACGCCTAAGCAAGAACAGTATGATCTTCCCAGTCCTCGACAAGACAATGTGCTAATATTTTTCGCCAGAGATGTATACCTGGAGCATTTATGCCCTCAATGCTATCGTGATCATAGTCAGTCTGTCGGGATTCTTTTTCGTCTTGACGGAATGCTCGCAGATACCGTAAGATGGGCCCCTCCCGAGATGCAGCGATGGCTAGCTGACTTAGTGGCTCAGTGATGTCTTCAATTATTCCAGCACATGGCGGCAATGTAGAGACAAACGCGAAGAGCGATCGATGATGCTGGGCCATGCCATTATCTGCATCTTCGTTGATTGTATGCTGGTCATTCTGCCACTATGCGTCGTGACGAATTACGTCAAAATGGGCGTCAAGGCCATACAAATTCTGCTCGTTTTTTCTCTGGGAATTTTTGCTGTCGTCACTGGGATCGTTCGGTTTTCCATTATCGTCACGACGGACTTTGGCGTAAACACGTAAGTACTCCTTGTGGCGAATGAGGAGCGGCTCAGACTAGCACCTTCAGCATACTGACACAGTCTAGGACCTACAAGATGCTCACTGTAGCTGCATGGACCGACGCTGAGCTTCATGTTGGTCTCTGGGTCGGTTGTTTCCCAGCGCTGCAGCCTCTACTCCGGCATGTGACTTTGATGCTCGGAATGCGCAGCCAGTTGGACAGCACAGGTGCTGCAAGCAAACGAAACACGATGACGTCCACGGCGACTTCTAACAGGAAAAGCGTTTTAGACAGATGGTCACGGAGTACTGGATACGTACGCAGTGAGAGCGCCGGAAGTCAGCCGCTGGAAAGCAGCGCTGGACAAGTCGAGGCTGTAGGCGGCCAGCCGGGTGATGTCGAGATGGTGGATCTCGAGAAGGGGGAAGGCGCTGGTAAAGTTGGCAAGCAGCCAAATACTTCAACACCAGGAAAAGTGGACGAGAGTTCACAAGCAGTAGAGCATAAGGCAGAGAATAGTGGTAGAATTCAAGGTGTCTAAGTTCATAGAAATAAGAGCGTGAATGAAGATTTCGGGAAGTTATTGGCAAGAACGTTGAACAATTGGATGGATGCTTGAGGAAAGAGATACAGTGCTGGCCTAAGTATAGGCACTGTTACACACTAAGGAACGTACCTTAGGCACGGACCAATCCTTCTTCAACACGCACTTTCTATGCAACAACAACTTTGGCTCCTTTCTAAAACGGAGCACTGCGAAACCCAGGATTTGCCTCGACAGAAAGCGACAACGTCACGCCATCTAGACTCTGTACAATATACACATATCTTGCACTCAGTCATCCTCATACGCAATTCGACATTGGGTTTCATAGAGATCGAGTTATCAAGACCAGTCTGGCTCGTGCAAGCCCAAGATCCCTGAGAGCTCGTCCATGACATTGGGTCTCATCCTATCACCCAACGGCGCCACTTCACGGTTTCCGCCTCTAGGTGTCGCCTCTTATTTCTCATACCCACTAGTCGTCACAGGAGAAAGCATCAATATGGCCTCACTTTCAGGATTTGGATACCCTGCAAGATTCGCACCCGGCAATATTGGACCACTTTGGACTTCCCTCTTCTACGGAGTTCCAGTAAGCAACATTGTCATCCATCTCGCCTGGCTGGCCGCGCTCCATCCCATTTTCTCTTCGCTTACGATAGACCGCAGGCGTCTTTCAGCATTTCTTCGCAAATACTTTATGCTCAGCTCAAGTAACCCTCGACTCCTCACCTTCTTTACCTCGGCCTTCAGCCACATTCAGCCTTTACACCTCTTCGTCAACATGTCAACATACAAGACTTATGTCGAGTCGTTCTATTTGCTCAGCATATCGCCGCTACGATTTATTGTACTATCCATCGGGAGTGCAATCACCGCTTGCCTTTGCCATATTTTCAATGCCAGGAGAGGAAGGGGAGCAAAGAACAACGCCGAGAGGACGGCTGTTGGAGCAAGCGGAGCCTTGACTGGTCTCGGCACAGCTCTGGCGTTAATGTTTCCCACGATGAAGGTCCGCCTTTCCGGAACAAATCAAGTTCTGCCCTTACGCATTGTCGTCTTGGGAATGTTTGCCGTGGACGCCTACTGCCTAAGCACCGAGCGAGATACAGGAGTGGGACATGCCGGACACCTCGGAGGCGCAGCTTTTGGCTTGGCATACTTCTTCTGGAGGAAAGCTACGGGTGCTTTTACTTTGTGACCTCAAGCAATCTACATCTCGAAATGCAGAGGCTATGGGTAAATATAAATATCGAGATCAACTCTAGCCGCCCAAGGTATATACATGAGAATGGTATCCAGGTAACAAAAAAGACAAAAGGCCGCAGCAATCTCCGCCATCGAAAATGTCAAACGCCACGCTACCGCATGAAAGAGGATATACCATTGTACGAATCAAGAGCCATTCTTCTTTACCAACTTCACACTACCACAGCTCTTCACTATTCACCATTGGCTTTGCATTGGGCTTGGTGTTACTATAGCGATTGGAATTTGTCGGCTGCTGTTGAGTGCCCTGGAAGGTTGGGCTCATTTTGTGTTGTGAGCCGATGGGACTCAACTTATGTGTCGAAGCAATGGGGCTTGGGTAGGTGATCGATCTATTGCCGGGGCTACCGGCAACCTTGCTTGCCATCGTTGACTCTCTCAAGGGAACTGGACCAACTCCGACGGGCGACATCTTCTTATCTGGGAATCGTGTGGCAGTAAATCCCGGCTGACGGGGTCCTTTGTGGTCGTCCCAAGGTGCGGTAGGCGACTGCAGAGGCGATGGAGCACCGCGGCGCGACCTCAAAGATAAAGACCGATATCGCGGCGATGTCAGACCCCACGCCCGACCGAAAGATGCGCCAGGATGATATACGCATAAGACCGAGGCGACGAGGAATGGCAGAGCACCACCGATGACCAGAGACGCGGCTTCCGACCGTTGTAGAGGGCTGTCGAGTCCGTCCCAGAACTCAACAAGACGATAAATGGTGTGTCCCACTAAGACGACAGCAACTGCTGGTATCACTGGGAAGAGATTGTCAAACTATGTTTTTTCTACAGCCATGGGTCTACTTACTCTTGACAAAGTTCTTGAAACGCGGTGCTTGATACACGGCGATATGCTTTGGGTCAGGAAGCTTCTGGGTGAACCAAAGGAACAGTCCGACGAAGAGCAGCAACGCCAAAACCTGGACGCCTAAGCCCGCAAGAAGAATCGATGGTGTCTGTTGGGGCTTATTAGAGATGGGAGCTGTTGGATCGCAGAACCACGAAATCCTTACCTGCACACCGCCGAGTCCAAAGACAGCCGAGACGGTCCCGGCAATTTCCAGTGCAATGACGAGAGCAAGAGCGAAGATGAGAAACAAGACGGCGACTCTTGGCCGGGTGAAGCCAATTCCGAGACCGTAAAGGGCGATGACATGGGGAAGGATCTGACATATAGCCGCTGCGATGAGAGTAGGGCCCAAGATGGCGCCGATGAGCCACAGGGAGAATGAGGTCCCGCTGGCGATATTATTTCGGAGCCTCAATCTTCCAGCGAAGCCCAAGATCTCAAGAAGAAGACCAGTAGCCAGAGTCGACGCGAATAGGGGCGTCTTGAAGCGAAAGCCTTGGTACAAGGCCAGAGGCACAAGCAGCGCAAAGGCTACCAGAAAGATGGCACTACCAATTACCGAAGGCGAGTAGGAGGTAAAGCCCCCCGGATAGGGGCACGAGTCTCCGCAGTCGCCTGTCATTGTGCTCACGTTCCACTTGACAGGCGACAGTGAACGTTGCGTCGCTTGACCATCGGGTGGCTGGACATGCCGAGAGAAGGAGCGGGAAAGGAAGAAGCGCGCCGGGCATTGGGGATATATACACGCGGCAGAAGCCAGGTGTGTAAAGGGTTAAGCATTCCAGCAAACTGGTCTGCATAATCGCGACGGTTGGGATATGGATGATTGCGGACAGCAGAGGCCGTGGACAATGAAGACGAGCGGCCCGACGGAGATGGAGGTAAGGTACACGCAGGACCAGGCCAGGGTCGATCCAAACGGGCACACCACCAGCTTCCGCGGTTTCATCCGTTATGGATACATCCACTACGGAAGAGACGTTGTACCAACAAGAACTTTCTTCAGTCGACCTTCAACCGGGCAACTTGACGGACACTTCTATTCGGTGACTGACAACACAGCGATGACGGTACCTTTAAGACGAATCGCATCTTGACTGATGAATAACATCAAGCAGTGCTGAGTGGCTTTTTCCAAGATGCCCAACTGCTGTGAAGGAAGAAGAAGGCACTGACGCCTCCCAACGAGCCAGCGAGGCAGGCAAGCAAACAAACACCAGGTGTGGGTGTGGACAGCGGGCGTGAGAGGGCGAAGCCGTCCCAGCGGAACGGTTCGACGGTGCAACAGTCGAAAGTTTGCAGATCCGGGCCCTCTTCAGCATGAGCTCAGGACCAATCAAGCAGGCAAGGTTGGCGGTTGCGGCCTGTTTACCCACGGGCGGCGCAGATGAGGAGGTTACATTGGACGGTCATTCAGTGAGGCCATGTTGGTCTTCGATGGCCGGTGAGCAGGGGGGCGTCGTCCAATGGCGAAAGCAGCCGTTGCTCTCATCTGCCCTACAGCATGGCTACGGGAGGGTGTCGAACAGATTGGTTCACAACCAGTCCTTTGAACTTTGAGCTGCTACGCCGCATTGCACTTTAGGCCTGGGGACACGTTGGGGGCTGGGGGCAGGTAATCAAGACGTGGCCCCAGAAGCGGGGGAAACAGTCAACGATGGGATATCATTCGTGAAAGGGCAAACGCACTCGAGGGGCCAGACAAGTTTCGGAATCGAAGCCTGACTTACGGTTTTCCTGTCTCGTACGTGTTGGTTCCGAGGCCGACCAATGGGTAGGTAGCATCGATGATGGAGGTGCAGTGAGGGAAGAGAGGGTGAACATGAACATGGAGGAAATTGAGAGGCCACTGGCAGATCGCCAGGAGCCGATGAATCATGGCCGATGTACCCGAGATTTGTTTCTCCTGCCATGGGCTGCCATGGCAGGTGCAGTGCAACAAACTGTGTGCGCACGCCCGCACCGCACAGCAGGCAACTGCAGGCTGCATGATGCGGCCGCCCTCACACGTAGACACCCTCGAAGATGGCGGCGGAAGACGACAGCAAGGAGATGAACCAACGGCCGGTGGGCGTTGGTTTTGGCAGTTGGGGTGACGGGGAACCTGGGACGGGAAAGTCTGAACTCTGATCAAGAACAAGGACCGGGACCGGCACCCGAAGGCGGAACAGGATTGGCAAACTTTAGGGCAGCATCTGGCAATCTGCAGTGCTGCAGGCCTGCGAAGCTAAGCAAAAAGACCAACACCAACACCAACAACATTATCCGTGGACCATCCCAACCCCCGGTCGACAAGGGCACAGATCGCACAGAGGATAGAGACAAGGGTGAAGGAGGAGGAAGTGGAAGAAAGAAGCTCTGACCAAGCGGTGGATTGTGCGGGAGACATCCGTCCACTAATCACTAGCGGCCGCAGCCCAGGGCAAGCCGCAAGCCGCACGCCAGGCCCCCCAAGGCTCCACTGCACTTCCAGCGCACGGTGGACCCTCCGGCCGAGAGACCCCCCGCTGTCGCGCTAAACTGTTCGCGGCCGCGGTCCTGCGTGACGTCAAAGAGCCGGGCGCTTAAACATGCTTGGCAAACATCTCTCATTGCTCAGAAATGCGCGTTTCTTCCTTCCTTCCTTTCCGCAGCACACACACCTATACACATGCAGACATTGGATTGCAGAGCAAGCATCTTCGTTCCACACTCCATTACGAACCTTGCAAGGAAAACAGAAACTTCGAAGGACCGGAACCAAGCCAGGCCATTCACATCCTCGAGAAAAACAAGCAAAGCAAACAAACCGGTACAGAAAAGAGGGGTGGGCAACCAACCAACTAAGGTGAACAGAGAGTACATCCAATCCTCATCAAGTGACTAGAGAACTAGAGACTTGAGACCTTCAGACTTTCCAGATTCTCTCTTGTCTCCCCACCCACCACCCCGCGCCCGCGGCGGCCTGCGCTCTTCCTTCCATGCCATGAACAGCGCATGCCTCACGAGGTGCCGCCCTTGCGCGCCCTCCTCACGGCTCATTTGTGCGCCAACCGCGTCTCATCGCTTGCTTCGCCCTCTTGCAGTCCCGGACAGCCGTCCTTTCTCCGTCTCACCCTTGCGGCCGAAGCACGACGGTGATCCGAGGTTCAGAGACCTGGGCAAACAGATATCGGACGAGTATGCCGTCGTTAGAGAACACTATGGTACCATTTCACCCCCCCTTCTTATCCGATCCGATCCTTTCCCCTTCCTCTTTGTTTGTCCATTCTAGGATGTTGTTCTCCTAGTACCTTTTCGAGTCCTTCTGCTTTCCACCCCCGCCTCCCTCCAACCACAATGATCCACCCACACTTACACGCCCGACAGACACGCCAAAGAACCCCATCGTCCTCGCCCACGGACTGATGGGCTTCTCCGAACTGCGCCTCGGCGCCTACGTCCCGCCCATCCACTACTGGCGCGGCATCTCCGACTCTTTAAGCACCCTCTCCGGCGCCGCCAACATCATCACCACCTCCGTCCCGCCCTCGGGCTCCATCGAGGAGCGCGCCGCAAAACTGGGCGCCGACATCGCCGCCAAAGCCGGCGGCCGCGCCGTCAACATTGTCGCGCACTCCATGGGCGGGCTCGACGCCCGCTACATGATCTCCCACCTCAAGCCGCGCGACGTAAAAGTCCTCAGCCTCGTCACGGTCGCGACGCCGCATCGCGGAAGTGCCTTTGCGGATTATCTGTTGGATGGGCAAGGGCCCATCAAGCTCGCGAATCTCTATGGGCTTATTGAGCGGGCCGGGTTGGGCACGCAGGCGTTTGAGCAGCTTACGCAGCGGTACATGGAGGAGAAGTTCAACCCTGCTACGCCGGACAGCGATGAGGTGCGGTATTTCAGTTACGGCGCGTGTACGGACCGGCCGCCGCTGCTGAGTCCGTTCCGGCAGAGTCATTGGGTCATCGAGGAGGCTGAGGGGGCGAATGATGGATTGGTGAGTGTTGCGAGTAGTCGGTGGGGGAAGTATCAGGGTACGCTGCTGGATGTGAGCCATTTGGATTTGATTAATTGGTCGAATCGGCTCAAGTGGACGTTGAGAAAGGTGTGGATGGGGCAGACGAGGACGTTCAATGCTGTTGCGTTTTATCTCGATATTGCGGATATGCTGGCCAAGGAGGGTTTATGAGGCCGCTATTGTATGGGGTGCAAGATGAACTTGTATTAGGGTGGTATGTATAATGATGCTGGCTACGACTGTAATCTCTACACTATGAGGTATGTAAGAGTACGAATGGGCAAGGGATAAAATAGCGAGCGATGGCGTTATCGGCCGGAGTAGATGAAGAAAAACCGTGTGGCTATATCGATCCGAAGCGACACGGAGATCTCAAGTCAATGTCCGTCTGTTTCTTGGATGAAAGGAAGCTGCTGCTGTGTAGTACCTTGAGCTAGGTGAACAGTCTAGTAAAGGTAGCTGAAGACTTTCATCACCTCGTCTCTATCCACCGGGCTCGTATTCGCTAGTAAATGCTATGTATGAGACTGAAGATGATTGGTACCTTAGCAGCGGTATTAATTGATGTAAAAAAACATCTCTCTCACAAAGCTCTACCAGTCACCAAGTAGAACTTCAACTGGGAAAAACAAGCGGCATAATCCATAGTTACGATGTCACAGAACACCGAACCAAATCCCTCGGCTGGAAACACTCCAAATCTTTTGAGTCATAGACTAGAAGAGAGAGTATAGTAGCGAGAACTATCCTCACCAGAGTGATCTGCGCGTCGTGTCTAGTAGTATAAAATCGGGCCCGTCGCGTCGTGTAGAGCTTTAACCGGCAAGGCCGTCAAAGCGTTCGAAACCTGGTTTATCGTAGGCTTTTCTCCTTAATTGTCTTTGGCAAGCTTCTTACGAGATTAGATATGCGGAGAGAAGACATGAGAAGTATATTTTCAATCTTCATGAACCATATCGCCAGTAAATTATCTTCTCCATTGCCCCTTCTATTCGCCCCTGAGTACCGGGCCGACTAAAAGATGGAAATAAAGTAAAGCCCGTTTTCTTCTTTTAATAAACCCCGTAAAAGAACATTACGGGAACGTGTGCCTTGCCTGTGTTCAGATCACCCAACGGTTCTCGCGTACCATAGAGAATACCGTGGCTGTTTGACCCTGCCAACACGTCAATCAGCCGCTTAGTATTGCGTTGTGAAAGAAACGAGGCACCTCGTGACCGGAGATTTATGGACTGGAGCAAATAGACCCGAAGACATGCGTCGTCTCGAAAAGGGCAGAGATGATGTGTCTCGTTTGCTATTTCCCCCAGGCGGCACGATCGATATAGATACGGCTCATGTCTCGGGTTTTTGGAAGACCAAACATTTGGAAAGCTTTCATGATGGCTACGTAGTATTTGACGGGATCCCTGACATCCCGCATGGTCCCGGAATAACGCAGCTTTTCAGCTCTGCTTTACTTGGGGCGTACAAGAACATGAGCACCCGACTACACGGAGATGCATCTGGTCATCCTCAAGCAATCGTTACGAAAACAGCATCTTTTGCAAATATCATGCGGTTCAAAGTATAACATCCCTTCTATATTGATCATGGTATAATAAACGAAAACGCTTCATCACCCACCCCCATCCCTCGTCTCCTCATTGCCGCGATACACATCTGTTGAGCTTCCACCACCCCTCTCAAAACACTCCAAAACAAAATCCGCCATTACTCATTAGTTTCCCTCCAAGGTATTCCCCATCCCTCCCATCTACAGCCAACTCGTCTCCCCAAGAGCCCGAGCATTTCAAAACACACACACACACACACACACACACACACACACACGAACATCAAAACTCCCCCACTCCCATGCTCCATATCTCACCTCCGATCTCTCATCTCTCGTCAAGATTTCATCTCTCTAATTCCCCTTCTCCGGAATCTGACTCGGCGCATTCTCGTTCGTAACGCCACTGTACGCCGGTCTCGACTCCGGTCCCGGCGCAGGCGCCTCCGCAGCCATAGCCTCATCGTAACTAGGCGGCGCCTCGTCAAAGTTGGCCGCCCCCGGTGTGCCCATCTGCGGCGGGTACAGCGGGTCATACTGCGGCGCCGCCATCGCAGGGTGCTGCTGCGGTGGTCTTTGCTGCTGCTGTTGACCTTGAGGTCTCCCCTGCGTCGCCGTCACGGGGGCAGACTGCGCCGTGCGCGGGGGTAACCTGGGCGGCATGCTCATCGTCGCCGCGCCGGGCCTGTTGGCCTGCGCCGCGAGCGCCTCGAGGAGCTGCGGCGGCGGCGCGATGCCCGAGTAGATTTGAATCTTGGAGAAGTGAAGCGGGAGGTAGATTGTCTGCGCCGCGGGGTTTTCTTTGGTCGAGTTGAGGAAGCCGCCCCGCGTGGGTGGCTTGCCCCAGCAGAGACCCAGCTGGATGTCGAGCTCGTAGAAGCGCTGGAGGTTACACGCCACAAAGGAGGGCGCGACGGTGTTGGGTAGCGGGATGGAGCGCCACAGGTCGTCTGGGATGACGCTCTCGAGGTTCAGATCTTCCGAGGTTGGGTCCATGAGGAGCGGGATGCTGAGGCCGGACTGCGTGACGACGACCCATTTGCTAATCTCCGTGTTAAAGAGATCGTGACATCGTACGCTGGTCTTGCCGACGAGCTCGATCTGGATGGAGGTAAGATATACCTGCTCGTGCGACGGGACGAGCTTCTTTGCGATGAGCCGTAGCGGTAAGGGTTGATTGCACGTCAGGATCGGAGGATGTGGCAGACGCGCAGAGAGCTCGATAGATGGTGGCACGGCGTTGGCGTCCCCGGTGCCGTCGTCCCTGCTGGAACCGAACATGGTTGACTTCTTCGTCTGTAAGCTCCGGGGCCGCGGCTTAAAGGTAAAAGGTCGACGGGCAAAGGCTTCCTGCGAAGTCTTGGGTGGCCGGGGTGGCTCGATGGGCATGAATTTGAAGCCGATCTGATATCTCCAGTTCTCCTTCAAGAAGCCCGGGCGCTGGATGGTGACCTTGAGGTAGTACCGCACCTCGGCCTGCCGGGGGAACCCGGTGAAGGACGGCGGCAAGGTTTTGGTGACGTGCTGCAGAAAGAGCTGCTTGCTCCCGTCCATGACCCGGGCGCCGCCGAGACCAAAGGGTCCGATGCCAGCGCCGAAACCTCCCATGCCGCCGATGCCACCAATCTTGGACATGGAGACGGGATCGCTGCAGGCATTGTTGATGGGCAGCTTGAAGTTGAAGGGGAACTCGTGCTGGCCTCCCTGGATGACGTAGCTCTGGGAGAAACTCGAGCCGCCGCCGCCAAGGTCCTCCTCGTAGGTTGGGAAAACCTGTGCGACCCGGTAGAGGATTTTGTGGTTCTCACTCGCAATGCTCCCGGGCCCGCCTCCGGGCCGGGTGTTACGCTCATGGTAGCTGTCCTGCGGCAGACCGAGGGCAGTCTTGGACTCACCCTCAAGCTTGACGACGATGCCGCCAATCTGCTCTGGCCGGCTCAGGTGGAGCACGACGCGGCCTTTGACGTTGTCTAGGTTGGTGTAGAACTCTGGCGCATTGTCGAGCGCTATTCTGATCGACATGGTTGTGAGTTTCTGGTATTCGCTGAGTCCGCGCTTTCCTTGTTTAAGAGGATATCCTTTGGTGGTGGTGTGGGAGGTGTTGTGGGTTGATGGTGTGTGGTTCAGGTACCCAGTGCGCTTCGTGTAATATGCTGCCACCACGTTGGTTCTCTGCGATGGTGGTTTTGCCGGTCGGAGGTGGGATGAGGCACAGACAAACAGGCGGACCAGACGTTGCAAAACTGCTCCTCGACCTCAATTAAGTGATCGTATTGCACCGTGCGAGCTCCGAATTGGAATGAGGGGCAATCTAGTCCAAGCAACCTAGGTGGGGTGGTGTCTATTTTTTCCCCGGTCTTGGTCTTTTTTCTCTTGGCTGCGCGCAATGCTTTGCGTTAGAAGTGAGGTGTAGTATGGTGAGGTAGCCAAAAACGATGGCGGAAGAGGAGTGAGGAACAGGTTCGCCTCAGTTCATCGGAAACCCTCAAGAAATCGAGATGGAAGTCTTGTCGGAAGAGATGGAAAGAGGCAGAACCTACAGTCGGCGCAGTCGGCGTCGTCGGTATCGTCTGTGTCGCCGCGGAATGCGGAAGCGGCCAAAAAAAAGTCTAGATGACTCGCTGTCTCGGCGTTCCTGGAAACAGACGATGATTAATTCAATGGAATCCGTACGGATAGAACAGAGCGTGATGTTAACAAGGAGGCGACGTAGACGCGTGTGGCTGAGCCCTCTTCCAAGCCTCGTCGTCTGAGCTGAGTGACAATTGACTTCGAGAGTTGGAGTACCTAGGTAAGGTGGGCAGGCCTGCGGAGCCGATACCGAGGCGCAGGCTTAAAAGCTCAAGATGTCTCGCAAAGCAACAGTAAAGAAAGGACGGCGCCTATTGCAAATGCTCACCAAGAAGACAGACGTAAAGCAAGGTAAGGTAAGGTGAGGTAATACTTCACGGTCGGCAGGTCAAGTTTATTCCCGCAATAAGTGCGGATAGAGTCGAGTCGATTCGATACAGACACCACGCATGTGTCTGGTTGAATTCAGCTCTGGCAGGCAAGGTAAGGTAGGGTTGATGTCATTGGGCGTGTGACCCAATCACCACCGCTATCAATCCCTTGTTGCTGGTCGTCTTACCTCGAGCTTTGAGGTACTTTAGTCCTCACGTTGCTGACATTGCCGACCTTGGGTTGTACCTTAAATAGACACCATGTCAACCTAAGAGGTAAACCACCCTCTTTTGGATTATTCCCTGACAAAGTTTGTGACCTCGTCCAACTCGAGATGATTGAAAATCGTGTGTCCATGAATGAGCCCATTTTGAGCCGAAGTCACTCACAAGATCTTGAGTCACATTCAAAATACACCTTTTGTATGAACAGATTCGCCTCACAACGATAACATGACAGGCTGATTGGTATTAAAATGATGTATGTAATCGTACACATGCTTTGGAAGCTACATGATTATAGCTTCCAGTACTTATCGTTATTGTCGCTTGAAGCCGATGGCTAAGATCATGTTGTCTCGCCTAATCCCTTCATAAAGCGAATAGGTTTGCAATGCCTTGATGCAGGGTATCCCACCCTATCGCGAATTCCCCAAACGCCCAGATGTTGCAGACGGTATCATTTCGGCATCCCAATGCCCGCGCAAAGCAAAATAAGAATAAAGCAATTTCTTCCCAGACCAAGAAAGGGAGCGTCTCCTTGCGATTAGTCCAGCTCAATGATCTCTGGCTCCGGTATCGACGGCCGTGTCTTGGCCCGCTTGGCTGGCGGCTGCCTATTTTCTACATTCTCTTCCTCGTCGTCATCAGCCTCCTCTTCCTTGGCTTTCCACATCCCGTCAGCCCTAACATAAATGGTCTTCGTATGAAGTTTGCCCTCAGCCTCGAGGCTCTTGCGGACGTCTTCCATGAACCTATCAACTCGAAGACTGTACGGGCGAGCATCCCCGTCACAAAGAGGACACTTCCACTTGTCAACCAAGGAAGGCTCAGGTCTCCCTTCGGTACCGCGATGACAAATGCGGCATGCATCGCCAGCCCCGTGCGCGGTACACCGAGGCTTGACCGGTCGGGTTTCTAGCCAGTTGATCAGGTCAAAGCACTCCATGTGCGTGCAGCTAACACCGCGCGCTGGTATTTTGAATATCGTGGCGCTAAAAGGGTCGGCTAAATCAATGCTGAGATCGCTGCCAACCACAACTAGCTCATCATCCCCATCGGAAGACACTGGTTCCAGACGGCTCCGGATAACCTGCTTTGTCGTGTCCGCCGAGATGGTGCCCTGGCTCATAACCATATTGACAATGTTGTCGTGACTCAGCGTCTCAACCACCTCAACAGCCATGAAATACATCATGTTTGGCTTTTGAGCCGCGGGCTTGGGGCTGATACTGACAGATATCGAATTTGTGCCAGGTAGTATATATGGAGTGAGTTCCACAGGCAAATGCTGCCCGTTATGCTGCTTTCGGCGGACCGCAACGACATTGTCATTGACCATAATGGCAATATGTTCAGGCCAGTAGGATTGCGCTACTGCCCAAACAGATTCTGAGATGTTTGCCGGTTCATCCGGGCTGACTGGCAACTCGCAGAGACGAAGACGGTATCGTAGGGACCCTTCAAAGTACTCCGAGACTGGGACACAGTCGCCTAACAAGTTGCTTGTCGGGCAGAGCTTGTTGAAGTGTTCGTCGGGCACCACAAAGGCAAGACGGTGTACGCAGTTTTTGGCTGGTGTTGCGATAGGACCTAGAGCAAGCTCCTTGATGGACTGATAAAACCTCACTGGTTTTGACTGGTCTTCCGACCTGGGTAACTCTCGCGGTACTCTTCTTGGACTCCGTAGTTGAACTTGGTGAAGTGCGATTCCTACAGCCTTTGGTTCCCATGGTGTACGAGGCATACGATCTAGCGGAATCGATACGTTGGGTGATCGGAAAAGGTTGCCTATGAGCCGTCCTGCTGCGTCACGAGTGGGCCTGAAGCTAGCCGAAGGAGGCCTCGTTGTTTGCGTACTCGGAGCTGCCTGAGTGATTCCCAAACCTCTTGGGCTCGCATGCGAAGTAGAAGCGACAGTTTGAGGCGAAGGCAGCTGCTGCATTTGTGGTGTGCGCACAGACGCTCCACGAGATGGCCCCTGTTGCATTCCTTGGGGCCGTGAAGAGGAGTGATGGTGGTGGTGATGGTGAAGGGGTTGAACTCTAGGCGGGGCCACGCTCGTAGTTTGCAGCTGCGTAATAGCCTGGGCTTGGTTCTGGGCAGTATCCAGTTGCCGGGACCTGGCACGCCTTTGCTCCGCATCGCGGGCTTGTTGGAGAAGTTGATAACCTAGATTATGGTGTTGAATTTGATTATGTGAAGGATCCTGAATAACCCCAGACGTATGAACTGAGGGAGCTCTAGGGGCAATAGCCTGCGCAGGCGATGTCAGGCCTGGCATAGACATTGATAGCCCCCCTGGAGGTGCTTGGAGAACTGGAGATGTCTGCCCCGGAGTCTGTGCCATTCTCGCAGTATGTGGCAACGGCATGTTGGGGTAGTGAGGCGAGCCTGTTGGGGTCAGGGGCTGATTCGCTAGGGGTTGGCTGAGAAGCCTCAACTGTGGCGGGACTGGTCCGGCGGGTGCGTTGAAGGAAACTGGCATCCCGGCAATATCGTCAGCCGTTGGGGATGGAAACATGTCAAACCCTTGAGTGTGAGAATTTTGTGTTGGTGTTGGCACCCTAACTTGTGCTGGGGAGAAGTTCGCAGACATCCTTCTGAGATTGCCGATTGCGGTTTGCTGTTGTGCTATGGCGGCTGCTCTGGCGTAGTCCTGTTGATGTTGCAGGTGAGCTTGCTGGTGTTGATGCATTTGTTGATGTTGATACTGTTGCTGTTGCTGCTGTTGTGCTCTGGCAGTTGCTCTGGCGATGTCCTGTTGCTGTTGGTGGTGCTGCTGCGGGTGCTGCTGCGGGTGCTGCTGTTGCTGTGCTATTCGCCGTTGCTGCTGCTGCTGCTGCTGTTGACTTTGACTGACCAAGGTTTTGTACCGCGAGATTAGCGAGCGTTGGAACACTCTTTGCTCCTCATCGGACATCTGTGTTTGGTCATTCTGGGAATCTTGTCGGAATAGCGCATTCATCTGATCGGCAATGGGGCCGTCTGGGACACCAGTATGTCTCCTAGTGACGGTGAAGAAGATTGTCTCTAGAATCGGAGACCGAAGTTTGAGCTGATAGCGCAATTCGTCTGCCAAGATAGGATAACCTCGACCTGAGTGAGGTCGCATGGCAGGAACCAAAATTCTGTTCCACTGTTCGTGGAGGTTGTTGAGGAACCTGGAGATCTCCCCAATGTGGTTGCGGTAGGCTTCGGTATGCCAAAGCCCAGAAGCACTACTAGCTGGAAAGTTTGCGAAGAAGAAAATCGTGTCCTGTCCCATATTTTCGTTCTTCCGAAGGACATTCTGCACAATACCGAGCGCGCTCTCCGTCACGTCAGGAGGAAGACCAAGGAGATTGTGTGCGGCTTTGGTGTCAAGCGTCCATAGACAAAGAATTTGGTGAAGCACTATGTAGAAGTAATCTGCCTTCTCAATGGCGTCTTTGAGAAGTCGTACTCTGGGTGCCGTGGTGCCATCTTCTGGGAGTTTGGCTATGCCGCCGCGATCGGATATGTAGCTGTCGAGATTGTTGGCCATGACTATTTGGCGGAAGCTGTCTAGCGGGTCCCGGCTAGTTCCTGCGGACTGTCCAGCATGGGAATAGCCATCTTGCCTTTCGCCAGGAGGCTGTGGCGTGTGGTGACCAGCAACAAGCGGACTTACATTTGCTGGCGGTCTTGAGTTCTGGCCGGACGATGGTCGAGATGATAGATTGAGCGTAGGGCTATGTGCGGCTTGTGAGTCGGGGACCAGAGGGAGTGACAACGAGCTTGGCGATTTTTCAGGAAGCGTAATCGACGGTGTGAACAGCGCTGGGTGCTCACTGGGTTCAAAGAGGGTGAATCTTGATGTGGAATGAAGATTTGTTGATAGAGTCGGATTGCTCAGGTCTGGAACAGCGTCTCCAGAACCAGCTCCTGAGAGATCTTGCGCAAGGACATTAGCTGGTCTTGGCAGGGCGCGTGTCTCGCCAGTCCAAGCCGTTGTTTCGTTTGAGTTGTTGGCTGCGAGGTCAAGCCCGAGTTCTGGACTTTGAAGGCAAGTCTCCCGGATTTGATACGAGGTTTGGTTTGATGTGACTGTGGGAGGACTAGGTTGGTCAGTTGGGGCCGGAGAGGGAAGAGCGGCTGCGCAGTCACTGCCAGAGGAAAACGTTAGAGACGGTTGTGGCGTTGTGGGCGAGGGGAAAGACTGTGGGATTCCAGAAGATGAAATAGGGCAGGGAAAGTACGTTATGAGTTGATTTGATTCAAGCGCTGCCGTAGACTTGTCTTGTAGGTTGTCATACGGTCGGAGTCGGAAAGCAGACGTCGCGACGGTTCCTGGCACAGAGGGTGAGTTCGAGGCGTTTGTCGAGGACTCTTTCCGAGGCGCTTGCGCTGGGGCCATAGGGAAACCTTGAACGCCTTGTCGACTTCTTGACGTCGGTCCCTTATTCGTATGGGGGCTGCGAGACGCTTGTTCATTTTGCGAGGTCATCCATGCTGGACGACGATTTCCCAGCAGAAAGTTGACAGTCTCATTCGAGCGGGCGACCTGCGCTCCTGAGAGGGCCCCCCCGACTAGATCTTGCTGGGCCCTGTGAGGTGACATTTTGCTTTTTCGCGGTCGTTTACGGGGTTTGCGGCGGCAGCGCGGCGGAAGCGAAGGGGTATCTTGAGCGAGACTGGAGTCGGCCATTTTGGTTAACGAGGCTGTGGTTTGTCAAATGAAATGTAAAGTGAAAGCGGGCGCGTACCATGAGGCCGAGGTCTCAGCTAACTCTGGAAGTGTTAGGTCACCAGCGAACAAGAGTCAGAGTCGAAGTCGGAGGTAGGTTCTGTATCGATAGAGGAAGGAGCGAGTCTCTCAAGTGGAGGGGAAGGCAGTCGCAGAGTGGTGGTTGAACTGAGAGGGAGACCGCGGTTCAACCCCTCTTGCCTCCTCTTGCACTTTGAGGTTTTGTCCCGTTTCGGTGGACAGCGATATTCAACCAAACGGCAGGCGCGACGGTGCAGGTGTCGGCAAGGCGTGCCGCGGGTATCTCGTAGGGTGAAGTTTCTTAGCAGAAGGTTTCGTCGTGATCCGAGGTCAAGGTAAGGCAGGTAGATGTGTAGCAAACCAACGAGCCTGAACGTGTCGCAGACGTCCGGTGTGGAGTACCGTTTTCTCTGGTATGCGGCCGAGGCCCTCGTCGAATGGTGACAGTGGGCAGCGATGCGATGCTGGGAAGAATGTCGCTGAAACTCGAGGGTGTATCCAAGCTAAGGATACGTGTAGGAGATATCTACTCCGGTTAGGTTGCTCTTCCCACAACTGAAGTGACGATCCGACATTCGGGACGGGGAAAACTTCGGCGACGGTGGTGAAAGCTTCCGGGTTGGGCCAAATGAGAGAAGGTCGATTGTGCCAGGGGACGTGCACCAAAGATTGGGGATAACGACCAGAATTAATGAATAGGACCGCCCAAACGGATGCTGGAAGATTGGAGCACATGGAAGACCACACTGGAACACTTTGGGGTGGGACGACGGGGGAGGTGTTTGCCAGTTGCTAAGCTAAGGCCGGAGCCGAGATGGTAGTGGCCGGGGTGGCTCTGACGATTGGTGAGGCGGGGACGCGTTAGTCCCAATATGGCTTGGTACTTGGCTAGTAGCCATTCGACACGATACCCGTCTAGCTCTAGGTCGACTTACCATGGCTTGCAATGGCACCGATGACAAGTGCTGAGTGGAGTCACAATCGAGGCATTCATTCATCATAGGTATTCGTCGCGCACCTTGAGAACTTGAGAACAATGTCCCCCTTCGTATCCATACCGCGTGCGGAAGATGTCATGAACCTGCGAGACCGTATTGTGCATAGTGAGTGCGCGCGCATGTAATACAGACATGGGCATATCAACTCGATGGGGAGAGAGGTAACGAATGGCAGCCTACACTCTCCTCTTTGAAGTGCGGTTTCCTAGCAAACATCCAAAGCTTGAATGTTTGTTGAGCTCGGGACTCGCAGATGGGAGGCAAAGTTGGGGTGTAGACAGATGGCATGTTGAACTCATAGAAACCAGAAGCATATGGATCCGGCAGCAGAGGCACCTTGCTTTCTTGAATCAAAGTGAAACCCTACAATGGCCCCCAAGTATTCTTTCAAGGTTCAATAAAGTCTACACAGTAGATCGGGAGTCACTTAAATATAAAAAGCCTAAAAACCTGTGCAAATAGACCTGTTTGCGCTCTGGAACAACGTCCTCCACACGATCAGAGGTATGCAAACTTGACGCCGGACCTCATAGCGCACACCCCTTGCTTCCACATCGTTGATGTCTTGTCTCTCACCGTTGACACTTGACAGTGGCTCAGGGGCGATGGGTATGACAAGAAGCGGCAGTTCTTTGTCTACTTTGTCACTGTTGCTTCTTGCTGTTTTCCAGAAGACAAACTCTGTGTAACCAGCCTTATCTTCTGTATGTCACAGCGATCAGTATTTCTGAAGTTTATAAGCCATCGATGCCTATGTTTGATGTTGCGATCACTCTCGTCACCAGCCGAAGGGGCATCGATATGCCCAGATTCGGGTTCCAGAGCCCTATCAGGAGGTTGAGCCATGATAAAAGCCGATACTGGCAAAACAAATTTGCTCCCCTCGTCTGTACTCAAACAGTTTCTTCAGATATGGCCAACCTCATGTCGAGTTTGTGAAAAGGAAATAGCCAGCATCGGTGCAAAGGTGATAGAAGCCAACGTCAGAATGGACAGAACATCTGAAGAAGTGTCGTTACCTCATACAGGGCGGGGCCCGCATCGCATGCGTAGTGTACGGATACTTGTCAACTTGTGGAAACAACTCCGATGGTCCATCTCGCTAGCTTCGATTATCGAATTGCTTATTCTGGGGGATTGATAGCGCAGGCCTGCTGTGCAGACGGATTATGTAATGCAGAATCTTTCGTTATGTTTCCTTGAACTTTGATCCCCCCAATTTCTCCCAAGATGAATAGAAAAGAGGGGGGACATGTCCCGATAGAAAATGGTCGGCACGTGAGTCTGCATGCCGCCCCAGCTTGCCCTGGCTTGTCAATTTCGCCAGTTGGCCGTGATTCGAGGTGGACGCGCCCGAACGTTAAAAAGCAAGCAGATTAACTGCATTGGCGAAGCGGGCATCACCTTGCCATTCCCACCACGACCGACATAGACAGCCACTATGATTGGCGTGTCCGGGGCCAGCTGTTTGCTCGCGGCTCCGGGCCATCCTTGCTGTACTGGGGGAACCAGCCGCTGCACACACGCTGCAAGATGCCCCTCCCGGTCCCCTCCCACTCCCAATCGTCTTGCTGGTGTCCACGCGGAAACGGGGAACGGGAATGCCCTGGTTGCTTCGGGCCTCGTGGCGCGTGTAAAGTCTGGTCTTTTGGCGCATGGCGAAATGGCGAAACTTGTTGATGAGCACCGGACGGGCCGCCGGCGTGCTGTTCCTTCGGGGTGGGTACCAAAGGAAAGAGATGCGTGATCACGGCCGTGACTGTCCGTTCGGTTGGCTACGCAATGGGCGAGCTTGGAGCCAAGCATGTCCTAGCGACGGGAGAAACGAAGGACTCGTCAGCATGGCACGGCGACGGGGCTATACTGGTCAGTGTTAGGTCGTATCGCGTTGTTCCGAGCTGCCTTTGCACATCGTAAAAAGGTGTCGGAGGTGTCGTGGATTGCGGAGGTATGAGAGAGGAGACGAAAGGGAAAGGAAGCCAAATGAGCCGGAAGCCGAAACAAAACAAGACCCATCCGCTTTTCCGTTGTTGGGATCTCATAGTATACTCTGATGATATGGCCAAGACAGGAATTTGGGATGGTGTCAGATTGTGAAGAACGTGTTCTTCGTGTCGGTGGCTTCATTCGCCATCTACTACTCGCAGCAGTGAACTCTATCCGCGGTTCCCACGGGTCCGGGTGGTAAGGTAGTAAAAATTGTAGTTTGTACTGTGTATGATGCGTGTCCATCTGCATCGCAAGTTCCAATATCGCGCCCTTTAAGGGACCTGCCCAACTGGGATAGATCTGGCAGGTCCCGTCTGGTTGAGGTGAGATTTGCCGTTGTGGTAAGAGCGGATGCGGATAGGTGGGAAGGAGGGAAGGAGCCCCCGGCCTGGGCCTGCCTTTCCATTCCATTTCTTTGCCTTCCAGATTGATTATTCGCATCATCCGCACCGTTCAGCGGCACCTCATCTTTGCCTCCCGTCAGGTTTATTGTCCACTTGGCTTTTTAGTTCCCCCGAGGAAGGCACTCACTGTACTTTGAAAAGATCAACCGGGAGTTCTTCTGTGCCTCCACATACTTTAGCTTGAAGACGCCTCTTCCTGGCCTTTGTGTGTTTCGTTGTAGACTGAGAAGCAGTTCTTTATTCTCCGTTACCCATCCCTTTAAAACTGCGCCTCATCAAGCAAGGTTATCGGGCCCTTCTCCCGCCTTAGCTACTACCTACGACCTTACCTACGGATGCAAAACTATTGTAAAACCAAACCCTTCGTTCCTGCTTGACTTTTATGTTAGACCACCTTACATTGGCA